TTTCGTCTCTAAATCTCATATACTTAGCACCAACTGCTTAACAAACTAGCATAAAAATAGATCACGTATTTTTAGAGTCCCATTAACTAATTTAATTGTTATTACCATTTTCACGGTAAATACATTCCTTCCCTCCTCCCCTTTATTTGTTTAAATTTGTTATAACATGCACACCCCTTTCCATTCCACCTTTATTTGTTATGGCATGCACATCCCTTCCTCGTTCACCATTATCTGCTACGACTGCTCTTCATTTTGTTTAAAGTCTGCTATATCATACCTTTCCCATCCCTACTCCCTTACTTGCTTATTACATTTTTTGCATATATTCCATGAACTAGATTCTTCCTTTGTCTTTTTTTTTTTTTTTTTTTTTTTTTTTTTTTTTTTTTTTTTTTTTTTTTTTNTACCCAGAATTGTTTTTTTTTTTTTTTTTTTTTTTTTTTTTTTTTTTTTTTTTTTTTTTTTTTATGTTTTTCATGTTTTTCATGTTTTACCTTAATACTGTATTTACTGTTTTTACATATTTATCATGAAAATACTTAGCAACGTGTTATTATCTCTGCATAAAGTATGCTCCACATCATACTCCACTCGTGCCAATTATCAACATAACGGCACTTGAGGAATGTCCGCGTTCTTCCAAAATTACCCTTTTAAATCGAAAAGGCTTATTTGCAGTAGACTAGTCGATCAGCGACGCAGTCGACGGTCCTATGCCTTTCCCTCTCAAGTTATCCACTTGAGAGTATCAGTCTAGGCCATTCTAGAAACCTTACTCCAATATCAAATGTACATGCATCATATTAAATCTAGTACGGGTTAAAACATTGTTAACGTGATATCCCGCTTTGATAGGCCTTGTCCAAAGTCCGACGGGATTTTCACAATCCCAATGGACACCGTCATGCTATGTGCATTACTTGGAGAAAATATGCCAATATGTTGATCATTAGTGTGTAAATAATCGAATCTGGAGGGGAAAAGGGCTAAATTTATTTGTTTGCAGAAAATGAAGCACGAAGTCCCCAGGTTCGACATGGTCCAAAACATTTCACCTCTGCTACTTGATTGGTGGAAAAATCTCGCGCCTAGCGACGAATCATGTGAGAAGGGTCCTTGGTAATTTTCCGTCCTTGTTAGACATCCGACCGAATAGAGCATTGATTGAGGCTGCTACTATGTTTTGGATGAGAAAAAGGGTCATCTTCCGCTTCGGTGACATAGAAATGACTTCTATCTTAGAGGAAATAGGAGGTTTTGCTAAGCTGCCTGGGATAGTCCAGGGTTATTAGTGCCAGAGAATCGCACCCCTCGCGGTTTTCTGAAAATGCCGGGTTTCAAGAAAAATGATGAGCTGCTTTGTTTGAAGAAGTCATACATCCCATTTGAATTCCTTTATGAGCATTATGGGCACAACAAGTCATATCGCCTTCATCATGATGAACTTGCCATTACTTCCTTGGGTTGGATGCACCATCGAATTTATGTGTTCATTGTCTGCTTCTTGGTCCGATGAAAGGGGGAAGGATCCACACTCGTCTAGCCATAGTTGCTAGGACCCTGATGGAAGGTATCAAGGGACAAACCTATACTATCATCCCCAGGATCTTGGCTGAAATGTACCACACTCTAGATCGGTGCAAGCAGGGGTTCGGGCACTTCGAGGGTTGTAATATTTTACTGCAAGTTTGGTTATTAGAACATTTTCAAAGAGGAGAATATCACCAGGATCTTCTATGTCGACCATTGAATGAATACATAGCCTACCATCACCCAAAGAAAATGACATTTTTCCTAGACAGGTTTGCTTAACTTGGAAATGCTGTGAGCTGGGTGCGTTTGTTCAGCAATCTGACGGACGAGTAGGTACATTGGATGTTTGACTTGTTCCTAGCAGTGAGTTCATAATCAGGTCAAGAGAGACTACTTATCTAGTACTGATCGGGTTGAGGGGAATCTATCCTTATACTCTTATAAGGGTAATGAGACAAGCGTGAAGAAAGCAGGTTATACCTTGGGTTTCTGACATGGTCCAGTACAAAGCTAACTTTAAAGGGGACGTTATTCCATTCAAGTTCGAGGCACAACATATGTGGAATCAAAAGGTCATTTTGGAATTGGATACTATTGAGCCAGACAAGTATCATGCCGGTTATGTGTACTTCTACCCATCATGGTTAATGGACGACATATCAGGAGACGTCAAGCAAGGAATTAATCTGAAAAACAGGATCATAGATGACGCTGCTGAAGAACAAGTCAAGTACAGGAGATTTTGCAGGAGGGTTTTCGAGTCTGAAGCTAGGCATCAAGAACAACACAAAGTAGATATGGAAGCAATCAACGAATGGAGGAAAATCGCTACTAAATCAACAGAGAGATTGGAATATCTGGAGCAAGGTTGATGGAGCTTGAAGGAAAAATGAAAAAGAGAATTTCAGACTGTCAAAACACGGATGGTAATGAAGGAGGACACCTAGTAAAGGCTTACCTATTGTTGGATATGCACGACCTGCGGAATCTAATCAATGGAGTCAAGAGAGCCAAGCACGGGGAAGGCCCTTTTGGGACCGAGTAGATTAGGGAAATGTTGTTTTACTACTTTCTAGCTTAGTTTAGATTTCGATTGTAATAAGGAAAATGCCATTAGTAATTTTCTTATTATTATTGTTTTAGTAAGGATTTGATTCATTTTCACATTAATGAAATGACGCAATTATTAGCATCAATTTTCTACGAGTCTATGTGTCGCTTAGGCCTACCTCGGGTACAACGAGGTCCCCTAAATTAGGACGCAAATTTATTACATCATTTTGCAGAGCATATTCAATATTGCAAGCATTCTTTTAATATTCCCTACTAACTTGGTTACCTTTTGTTTTTCTTTATTTTGATTATTCCTATTCCCCAAGGTTGGTTCGTGCATACTGGCATCATCCGTATATCACACTAGATCTAGAGGTCCTCCACATCCTCTTCCACCAAGTGATCTTAAAGGCAGAAGCAAAGGGAAAGGAAAGTTAGACAATTTAAGTGGTATCAGAAAGGACAATGCATAAAACATTAAAACTTCAGATGGTCGGAGTATTCCATCACATAATGAATTGGTCCTACGCCTGGAACAAAAAATATTGGAGCTACAAGGAGAACTTGAGCAGGTTTGGAACTTGGCAAACCTATCCCTCACCTTAAACGTCCCCGATATCAACCAATAAAATGCCTAAAACCCGACACCTCCCCAAAACACTCAAAATTAGAATCTACCACCAAACCCTCCCTCACCACATCGATACGCCACACCTCCTTAGAACCACAAGACTCCACTGGTACCTACTCCTTAACAACACCATCACTATCCAACTCAACACCCACAAACCACCACTTACCACACTCCTCAGAATGCATCGCGACCTACTCCTGATCCCTTAAAGTCAACTAATGAGCACCATTATGCCCAGATTCCTGGAGTCCACCAAAGCAATCCTATATATATGGAAACTTTACCCCATACCCCACAACAAACCCTATATATACCGGAGTCCACCGAGAAGGACCTGCTCATCAAGAACATGGCGGAGGAACTCAAGAAGCTCACTGGCAGATTTCAAAGTGTCGAAGGTGGCAAGGTCATTGAGGGTTTGAATTATGAAGACTTATGTATTCAACCAGATGTAGAACTGCTGGAGGGTTACAAACCTCCTAAGTTCGAAATATTTGATGGAACTAGTGATCCAAAGGTACATTTAAGGACATATTGTGACAAACTGGTAGGAGTTGGCAAAGATGAACAAATTCGTATGAAGCTGTTCATGAGGAGCCTAAGTGGAGATGCTTTGTCCTGGTACATCAGTTAGAACCCAAAGAAGTAGGTTAATTGGGTGAGCATGACGTCCGATTTCATGGATCGATTCAGGTTCATCACAGAAAACATACCAGACGTTTTCTACATTCAAAATCTCAAGAAGAAACCAACGAAAACCTTCCGTGAGTATGCTACTCGATGGAGGTCTGAAACTGCGAAAGTAAGTCCGGCACTTGAAAAAGAACAAATGAATAAGTTCTTCGTCAGAGCTCAAGACTTGCAATACTACGAGAGGCTGATGGTTATTGAAAACCATAAATTCTCTAACATCATCAAACTGGGAGAAAGAATAGAAGAAGGGATTAAGAACGAAATGGTGACAAATTTCGAAGCACTCCAAGCCACAAGTAAAGCTTTACAGTCAGGAGGTATCTCCAAGAAGAAAGAAGTGGGTGCAGTAATGGTAGCCCAAGGTCTAAAGTCTCCTCTCACATACCAAACACCTCTACTCACATACCAGCCTTAATCCCCAGATACCAACAACCTACTACAACCTACCACACTTATAACACCCAACCCGCATATTACCACTCACCACCACCAGCCCACCAAAATTATCAAAAACCAAGACCAATATTTGACCGCAGACCAACCAAACAATACACCCCGATCCCTGAACCCATAGACCAACTATAAGAGAGATTGAAAGCTGCCGGTTACGTCACTCCCATTCCCGCTGTTCTATGGAAAACTCTTCTCAATAGATTAACCCAAATAAGACATGTGCCTATCACTCAGGCATGAATGGTCATACCATTGATGAATGTCGCACTCTAAAAGACAAGATCCAGACATTAATCGACACTAAGGTCATACAGGCAAAGGAGGCTGCACCTAATGTTCGTAACAATCCTCCCCCGGATCATAGAGGTGAGGGAGTAAATGTGATAGAGACCGATGAAGAATGGGATCCGGAAGGGTCAATTGGACTCATCTGGGAGGGGGATGATCCTAAAACATCTTCAGTCACCCTCAAACCCAAGCACCAATTAAAGTTAAAATAGCCAAACCAGCGCTATTTGAAGTTGAGCTAACCATACCCTTCACCGTGATGGTAGCACCTATGTCATCTTATAAGTCTAACGCTATACCATGGGATTATGTTGCGGAAGCAAGAAGGAAAGGAAAAGAGAAAATGGAAGAAACAGGAGCAGCACAGGGCATGACTAGAACTGGTAGAGTTTATACACTCGAACATTTGGGAGGAACAAGCAAGAAAGCTGCATCTAAGACACCTATCATTGAAAATGGCCCTGACGACCTTTGGAGAAAAGTGCAAGTGAGAGAATACTCTGTGTTTGACCATTTGAACAAAACAACTGCTCAGATATCCATTTTATCACTGCTGCAAAACTTCGAGACACACAGGAATGCCCTGATAAAGGTGCTAAGTGAAGCCTATGTACCCACCAACATCACCAGTGGGGAAATGGGCTAACATGATCGGGCAGGTATTGGAAAGCCACAAAATCACTTTTCATGAAGACGAACTGCCACAAGAAGGACTTAATCACAATAGGGCACTACATATCACCGTGCAATTTGAGAACAAACTCATCGCTAGGGTCCTGAAAGATGGGGTTTCAAGTCTCAACATATGTCCGTTGACTACTCTGAAGAGGTTGGGTAAAGGCTTGCACAAGATATGAGTAGGAAGTATGAATGTGATGACGTTTGATGGATCTCAAAGGGCCACAATCGGAGAAATCAACCTCAGTTTGCAGATGGGTCCAACTTGGTTTGATGTTGAGTTTCAAGTGCTGGATATATCCACTACCTACAATCTACTATTGGGACGACCCTGGATACATGCCACTAGGGCCATAACTTCTACTGTGCATCAGGCTATGAAGTTTGAATGGAATTATCAGGAAGTGATCATCCATGGAGACGAGAGTAATCCCATCTATACCAATCAGACTGTTCCAGTAATCGAGAACATGATGAATCTGGGTGGAGAAACATACCATTGTATTGAGAGCCAACGCGATTGAAAAGGACAAATGGTGGAGCAACAAGAAAGAAAGCATATTGCTATGGACAGGGTATGAGCCTGGCAAGGGTCTCGGCAAGAATCTCCAAGGGATCACCAAACCGGTACAGTTAAAGCGTCATGGCACAACTTTTGGGCTTGGGTATGAATACACTGACAAGAGTACCAGGATTGGTCGCCACCATGGCATGGTCTTTATTATCCGCTAGAAAAATCAGTACCACATTTGCACCAAACATTTCATCAAGCTGACATGATGTGGGGGTTTGAACAAGATGAAGCTCTAGCTAGTATAAGGAACCTATTTCTGGATGATGAAAACATGGACTGCAGTGTAATAGTTGAGTAAGGCTGTCCAACGGGATGGGCTGTCCCGTCCCATCCCGCGTCCCGTCCCATCCCACATCTCGTCCT